GGTTGGAGGCCATCGCTATTAGGTTGGAGGCCATGGCTATTAGGTTGTCTCATGGCATGTTTCATTCCTTAAGAAAGTGCCAAGGTCTTGGCCCTCGCTGTTTTGCTTTGACAGAACAAGGTGGGGCAGCGGCGGGTGTGTGAAGGGACCACCGAAGACCCACGGTGAACCAAGGGCCCTTGTTACTAGTAGCATGCCCTTTGTTCCTAGTAGCGATGCCCTTTGTTCCTAGTAGCATTCTTGTGACTAGTAGTAATGCCAGGAGCGCCCCTAGTAGCGTCCTTGCTTCTAGTAGCGGTGCCCTTGTAGCTGGAGTCCTCATCTACGTTGCCTCTTCCTACCACACTGATAGTCGCAATATATTGCAGTGTACTCTCAGAACTGCAATGCACAGTATGCCGGTTGGCCCAAACACATCAAAGGAAACCAAACCCCGTTAGGTTGGAAAAAGGCTTGTGGGCAATGATTGAAGGTTCAGACACTCTGTTTTTTTGCATTCAGCCATGACATGGAGACACAAAGCTGTTTACATCAAAACAGAACACCTCCCTTTGCTGGGATCTCAGATGGGTAGACAGAAGACCTTTACCGCCTGTGCCAGATTCGACCTGCCATTCGCATTGACCCAACAAGACTTTGTAACGCGCTCTCTATTGGCTTGGTCCCAAACGTTGGGTTCAATTCATTCGACCCGAGGATTTGCTTTGGCTTTTGCGGCAGCTCCATCCTTGGTGATCGGAGCTGGAGCCGGAGAGGGTGGGAAAACCATTTTGTTTCGACCGGATGCTGGGCGGATCAAGCGGGTCCATGGAGTCCCAATTGGTCACCCTAAACATGCACGTTAAACAGATGGTGATGGGTGTGAGTCCATGGGAGACCCCCTGGCCCTGGCTGGGTAGACGACCGTCTATTTCCCGACGGGGTCGTTGCCTGGGAGGTCTCCCTATTTGAGCTTCACACAATGTACGTAATATACAGAAGGGCAAGGGTAGTTATATATTATATAGACGCATACTGGTATGATTGAATATCCAGTAGCTTTGTGTTCGAACAGATGTGGCATCCAAGGAGTATGTGGAATATCTCAAGAAGAAGGGCGACTTGCCTGCGTGAAGGGGAGAATGAACCTAATTACTTTTAATTCTATTTATTTCTTGTTTCTATTAGCTTTTTCCTAGTAGTATGGCCAGGAGCCCCTAGTAGCGCAGGAGCGCCTAGTAGCTTCTTGTTACTAGTGAGACAGTCTAGACACGGTCGTTGTTCTACGCTTCAGGTATAGACACGGTCTACTGGAGACAGTCACTTCAACTCTACGACATCTTCTTGCGCTTCGTTGTGGGGTATTTGGAGTGCTACTACCCAAAGAAAGAGGACCTTGCAAATGACCCAGAGATGAAGGCGGCTGCCAGGCACGCGAGGGCCTCGCGTGGTCACTCTTCAATCTGGCCCTCTGGGGCCCTCTCCACAAGCATCCGTGTGCACACACATATAGAAATGCGTACTGACTCGAATGCCGCAATGCCGCTCGCCACACGGCAACCTAGGTAACCAAGTGCCTAAGGGTTCAGGTGAGTTACAAAACTGAATGACTCCACGAAACCTCCAATGCCTCCAAAGCAAACCGAAATGACTTGTCGCTGCATTAGCCCTTGAATCGCAAAGACACGAAGTGCAGAAACAACGTATTGGACAGCTTTGGCTATACTTACGTTCTCAAAAGCAGGTACACCAGGTTGATCAGACCTGCCTTCCACCATCACGCATAGCTTCGTTGGCATGCGTTTGCGTGATGTCCGCATGCCCCCTGCTCAATAAGTTAAAAGAAAAAGAACAAGTCCAACCCAAAAGGATCCCTGTGATTCCAAGGGTTACACACACACACACGCCTCCCCGAGGGGACGCAAGAGGCACTAAGGTCAGGGCAAATGTGTGAGTGTGTACGCAGAAAGACAAAAGAATGAAGACATGAAGAGGTGACAAGACCGGACAAAGGTGTGCGGTGGCAATGAAAGGGAATCAAGTGCACAGGGACAACCGATGAGAACCCACCTCATTGTAAAGACCTGGGCGACCTAAAGTGTGCGCAAAGAAGGAAAGCGATGAAATGACAGAACATGAAGACAGGAAGACATGAAAGAAAAGAGAGGAAAAAGAAGTGTGTGAAGGGGAAAGGATGAAAAAGGGGAACCAAATGGAGGGGACGAGAACCGATGAAGCCAAACCTCATTAGCAAACCTATGCAAACCTCGTTGAAAAAGTATGTGCTGTGTGTGCACCTGAGGTAGCGACGGGTAAGCCAGCTTGGAATGCAATAATCCATCAAGTCTTGGCAAGTAACTTTGGCGTAAGCCTCCTGCTGTCCGCTCTGGACACGTACATCTCCGGGCAGGGGAGATAAGGACAAACCCCCGTTCGACGGGTCCACAGGCACTCTACGGGCTCACCCTGGGCTCTCACGAGGAGAGACGGAGAGACACACTTATAGACATGCGTACTGACTCGAATGCCGCTCGCCACACGGCAACCTAGGTAACCAAGTGCCTAAGGGTTCAAGTGGGTTACAAAACTGAATGACTCCACGAAACCTCCAGTGCCTCCAAAGCAAACCGAAATGACTTGCTGCTGCATTAGCCCTTTAATCGCAAAGACACGAAGTGCAGAAACAACGTATTGGACAGCTTTGGCTATACTTA